GTTGAGCATATACCTTATCTTAAAGAAATGCTTTGGGACCAGAAACGGGATTTGAAGCCATTTCTTAATAATGTCTAACAGTAGCTCTATCCCAGTCTTTGTAACATGGGATATGCTCACCTCATTTTGCATCCTGTTCGTCTCACTTCGCAAACGAACCACAGTGGAAACAGCATACCTTATAATATTGAGTATATCCCTTACTTCATGCCCACTTTTCAATATTTGATTTCTGGACTGCAGGTGAAAACATTTTTTGGGATGTTCTCCATTATCTAAAAGTAGACAGAGATTCATGCAGATCTCATTGTCAATGTGCAACAAACGCCCAAGCAAATCTTGCAGTAGCATTGAACTTAAATAATTCTGCTTTGAATCCTCACGATCACAAATTATGAAATTTTTATAAGCAGGAAGATTTGGAAAGAATAGTGGGAATCCAGCAGTAAAGGCCAATAACGAACAATTAAGTGCAAGTGTTGCTATGATTTTAGAGCTCTCGACATCTATACCAACGAAAGATGAGCTTATCAGATCCAATTCCTTTGCTATTCTCTTCAACTGGAAAGATAACTCAGCAGTCTTTTGTAGACAAATGAGGCTGGCCAAAGCACTGTCCTGAACCTCAATAAAATTGCTAGCATTTACCTCCTTAGATGTGTCCAAAACTTCAAGAATCTCCCCAGCAGCAGCAAGAAACTTTGCTCTGAGAGTGAAGAACCATATCTGAAAACAAAATTGTTTTCCAGAAATGACACCTGTTTCTAATGTTTCTATCGAAGAACTTAGATTGTGGTATGCTGCAACAAGCACATCCCTATAATTAGGCTCATTGTTATTCCCTTCAGCATCTTGTCCAACTCCTAAATTATCTTTGAAAGGAGTCAGGAGTTCATTCATATCCAGTGAACAAACTAAGATGGATTGTTGCTTTGGCAAGAGACTAAGCTGCACTTTAGCTTCAGAATAGGAAAACTGAACTAACAATTTAAGCCAGCAATAACAAGAATCAGATTGAACTCTTGTCATTAGCTGTGCAAAAATAAAAGTTGCTGTGATCCATGCTCCCTGACGTGCTGCATATATTCCAGCTTTATAGGCATGCCAATTATCCCTCTCTGACAACATCTTTCTGGCATGCTCAACGGTAGCAAGTTCATGCTTAAATGGATGCTTGGTAAGAAGAATATCAATTTTTCCAAAAAGATGAGAATGCAACAATAAAGAGTAAATGGTACGTGTACGGCAATCAAACACCCGGCCATGATGTAGAAGCTCCACCAGAAGCTTTAATTTGTCAAAGACATTGGTAGTGATTGCACCGGCTTCATTGAGATTTTGAAGACAGGCAGCCACAAATGTGTGTATAATAGATAAAAGCTTGGACCTGAAGACTCTCCATTTTTCTCCTTCAGAGTCCATAACGTCAGAGGTATCAATTTGTCTAGCAGCCATGAAATTTTCATTGAGATTCACGAAATATTCAATAAATGAACTCATTTCATCCAGCACCATTGCACCCAAATCTGGATGTTCTCCAACCAGCTGAAGCATAAGATTTAGCAGGCTTTTAACTTCTTGAAATATTCTGGAGTTAGTCTGACAAGTGTCAGGTAATGCTTTTATCAGTGAGCTAAGCCGCTCCATAATTAATGAGATGACCCGTGATGGCAAAGGTGAGGAACAAACAACAAAAGATTCACTTTCCAATTTTGCCCAAAGTTTGGTTGAAACATCTGTCAGAATACAAAGAGCTGCAAGGCTCTTTGACATGATTGGGGACTGGGAAGCATTTTCTAGAATGGCTAACAGCTGAGCAAATTCAAGCATCTCGAAAGAAGGGAGAATAGGTAGTGTATACAAAACAATCTGCAAATTCCCCAAAATGCATCAACAGAGTTAATCCACCAATACTAAATAACTAATTTATCATTGGCTTAGAGATACCTTATGTAAAATCTGCAGAGATCTACACTGCATGACTGATGGCAGTTCAGGTTCATCTGCTATGGTGAATAATGTTTTGATCACATGCATATTAACAGGAGAGCAACACCCTTCTTTTACAAAAATTAGATGTAAGCAACTTAATGCTGTTACTCTCAACTGCCCAGGATTTTCCCGGCTAAGACATGATAAAAGCAAGTCCACCTGTATTTAAGTGGAAAGATAATACTTAGCAAAACTAAACAAGTCATACACTGGCCCCTGCCCCCAACCACATGAACTGATGCCGGAAGAAGTACCTGTTCAGAAATAAGACCTGTTGACTTGGAAACAAGTTTTGAGAGTGATACCAGCATGGCAACAACAAAATTCTGCTCTGGAGAATCTGACACCAGCTTTACACCAGTCTAAAGAAAGAAATGGTTAATTGTATATAAAATGAAAAGATCCAAAACAGAGAGTCCGGTGAAAGAGTAAATTTTGACAATAGTAATCTTGTCACTAAAATAATAGCTTTATTTTTCTGAATAATGTATGGACTTCTACTCGTCACTGAAATTTTCATTATATCTAAAATGGTCACACGTTTGTCAACAAAAGAAAAAAATTGGAGAAGTCAGAGAATGATATGTTAGAAAATTTTGAAATATATGCATTTATATGCCTCAAGTGTAAGACTCAGTTCTTTTAAAGGGATGCAAGAAACAATAACTCATTTAACATTAAGTGTTTCCTCTGCAAAATAACATGTGAAAAATTCCCTGAAAAAACATGTACCATTCCATGATATGATCCTGGAAAAAACTCAGAAAAAATGTCCTCTGGAGGCCTGAGTGGACTGGGCCATAATTTTGCACAATAACCACAAAGATACATCTACACATTCAAATTGGAATATACATGTTTCAGGATATGAGTGAGTGAAAGAGAGATACAAAACCTTGTAAGCTCTACTTGAAACTGAATAAGAGCAAACCATTCTAGTAAAAACACTCACACCCGCCAACCTTACAGCTGGCAGTGTTTCTGAGGAAGCCATCATATTCACCAGCATCTCCAAGACAACAGGTGCAAAGTCATTTGCTAACTCACAAAAGCAACCAGCAGCAAACAATGATGCTTTCACCTATAGAAGCCAATCAAAGGCTGCAAATAAGTTCTACTCATTTTCTAAAAATAATAAGTCACTGCAAGTGGCATGTCAATAAAGCCATTAGCCAACAAGAAGATTTCTTATCCTTTGTTTCTTATCTCTGTTTAAAAAGTCGGGTAGCTGAATCTAAGAGGCAAGATAAGTGTCTGCGCATATGTATGTTTGTGAGTATATATAATATCTAAACCCATCGAGGACCATAAATTTAAGTTAAATGCCTTGGATTTGGCTCAACAAGCTCAGCTAATCACCCTTCTTTAAGAAAAAAACAGAGTAGAAAGAATATATTAATAACAACAAATAGAACATTTGAGTTTTCGCAGAAGAAATACTGATGTTGAGACACCAGACTCACCTCCATAACATAAGAAGAGACCATACTGGAAAGTACCAAGTAACGTATCTCTGCACTATCTTTTGCAAAATCAGCCCAACAACCAAACAGAACTAAAGCCAATGCTCTCGACTCAACATCACCTGTGTCAAAAACAACCTTGACTCTCCTCAAAAGTTCTGCATGGTTATACACTCTGCCATTCAGAAAAGTTGCTCTCGTTTGTTTCCTATGTTTCTTGCTTCTGTCATACCTACTATTTTTCAAGAAAATTCTGACGACAGATAGCCTGATGTTTTTATCACCAGACTGAAATGCGTCTGCAAGCCTTAGTAGTATAGTGTTGGCAAAAAGCCTGTCCTCGCCAGGGACTAAACCAAAGATGGAGCACATTGCCTTAGTTGCTTCTGGTTCTTGTCTCCACTGTTCAAGTCTTGATCCAGTCTGTAATATGGCCTCCACAGCTCGAGCTGAATAAGGAGAAATTCTTGTTAGTGGTGAAACAATTGTATTGCTATTGAATTTGTTTAAGAAAAAACATATGAATTTCCCAACAGTGCTTAAAACATAGAAGAAGAAGAAGAAGAAGAAGAAGAAGAAATGGGGTTGTTGTTGGAGTTTGTTAAAGGAAAAGGACAACAGAAGCAGATGAAACCTGGGTTATTGGAGCGGAGAGCCTTGTCGAGCTGGATGCTCCATTCCATGGCACAAGCAGCCGATATTTTGTCCATTGCAAAATGCCTTCATCAGGTACTACCTGCAAATAAAATAAAATAAAAAAGAAAGAAAGCGAAGACGCAGAATGTGAGTGAGGAGACAAATATAAACAGAAAGAAGATGCAGTAGGAGGAAGAGGAAGAGGACGCAAAAGGAGCAAACATTTACACGAACGCTTGGTGAACAGAAAACATCAAATACAACATGACAGCCACCGTGACGGCACTTTCATCTTCCAGACATTATATTAGCGTTGCCCCCTCCTCCCTCCTCGTGGCTTAGCCCTCTCCTCTCCATCGAAAAGTCGTTCACTTCCAGTTACGAATTTATGCTTTGTATATGAATTTTGCACCCAGACCCTTCCCCGACCAAATTCCTGATTTCTCGGTGTTTCTCTTATTGGTTCAGTTTGCGACTCCTGTGTTTTTACTCAAAAGACATAACCCAACAATGTTACAGCTACAACTCAAAACTTATTTATACCCAGCAAAGAGTGCATTTTAGTCTGCACCAATAAGCGTGGCACCAGGACACCAACGTAGTTTTCTGTATTCTGTCTCTTCTTCTATTGTGGTCCTGTTGTTCTCTTAAAATTTTCAATTACCTGAATTCATCCAATCACACTCACTTTTTAAGTAGAATTTCGAGATTTATCAAGGGAGGACCACTTTTGAATGATAAAAAACTTAATCTGAAAAGGAATCTATTATGCATTAAGAATCAAAATTAATCTGAATTCGCCATTAATCATTGCACCACCTGCTCCAGATCAATCACAAACAAAAAGGAAAAAGAAAAAAAAACCCCATTATCATTAATGAGTTCAACGAGAGAGAGAGAGCGTCCCCATTGGCATAAAAATGGAAATCTATTCTAAACTTCCTTTTTGTTTCTTCGCGTACAATACGAATTGAACGTAAAAAGATCAGTTCCTTTGTACCCAAAAATAACAATATATTCGTATGGATATTGGTTAGTTTAGGAACCAATGGGATCAAATTTTCAAAAGGAACTCGGTTCATTAAAAACTCTCCAATTCGACCATGCATGATCCTTTAATGGTGGCTAGCAGATGAAAGAGCTTTCAGTGGGGCAGGTCATCATGGAAGAAAGCACTAAAGTCGGCCTCTCAAAAGATAAATTCATCCTCAACCAAGACATCTTCCGAGTCCATTTAGCACCACGATTTCAAATCCCCTTCTCTCTCTCCTTTCCTCTTCTCTCAGCTTCTTTCTAACATCATCTTCGGAAAGAATCAATCCTTTCACATCCTGTTTCTGGTGAGAGCTGGTTCACAATAGCACCTTTCCCTGTCTTGAAGTCACAACCCACAAAAATAAAGTTGGGTGGCAGATATTCTGAGTCCGAAGCATTTTAATGTTCTGCATCATACAGGGTTACTTAATCAAAGTATAACCAATTGCAGCTAATATCAAGAAAAAGGGCATCAACAAGTCAAAGAAAGTTATCTCGAATCACACTGCTAGTAGCTGGGTTATTCTTATCTTCCTTATTATCTAACATGTTACAGATGCTCTTCAAAAATGTAAAAAGGATAGTTGAGATAAATGATACCTCAAGTTTTATTTTAATCACCAATAATCTCGGCAAGAACACAACCCTTGATTGAAATGATGAAACCTCTTAGCATCTCGCATTACAATCTCTCTGCCAACAATCTTTGACATGATCTTAAATGCAGCATGGCAATCGCCACAAACACGAAGATTCTTGATTATGCGAATCTGTCCACGAGCTGGAGTAGTGAGGAGACCATTAGCAAGAGCAAGTCTCTCACTATGAGCAAGAAGAGCTTCTTCCTTACTTTCCTGGTCTATATCATGCAAAACAAATCTTGTCTCTGGAATATAACCAGCTTCTTTCATGTGCTCTTTCAAACTTCTTAGCAGTTTATAGATTCTATCATTCTCAGGATGTGATGTATCTCCTGCACGATACTCATGAACCCTGCTCCTGACTTCAAGAGGACTTTGACTTGGCAACTTCTTAACATTCTGTTTTGCAAGGTCAGAATCTTTCAAAGGCATGAGGCCTGCTTTTGATTGTTCATTCAAGCGGGAGGGATCTAGCCGCTCCACAAGTTCAGCACATCGATCCCCAAGTTCCAAGTGCCCATGAACTCGGCAGAGATTCATTAAAGTTTCCCAGACATCAACACTGGGCTCTAATGGCATCTTTTCAATGAATTCCAATGCTTCATCCAGATGCCCTGTACTCCCCAGCATGTCAACAACACCCACGTAATGCTCCATGGATGGGACAATGCCATACTCACTGCTCATTGATGCAAAGTGCAACATTCCCTCACTAACATCACTCACGACACCACAAGCTGAAAAGACTCCAATGAACATTTTACCGTCTGGTTTCAACCCTGTCATCTTAAACTGAGCAAACAGATCAAGGGCGTCCTCCCCTAGTCCATTCTTAGCAAGCCATGTTATCATAGTATCCCAAGATGTCAAATTGCGCCTTGGCATTTTATCAAACACCTCAAATGCGTCATCCATAGAACCACATTTTGAGTACATCTCTAAAATCTTGTTATAGATGCTTATTTTGCAAGGTGATAATGATCTTATGAGGTGTTCATGAACAGTTTTCGCTTCTTGTAAAGCTTTTACTTCCCCACATGCCTTCATTAACAGCAAAATTCGGGGCAAATCCACATGAACACCTTGCTTTTCCATCGACCCCAAAACTTCCACTGCTTCTTTTACATTCCCTTTCTCGCAAAATTCATCCAGCGTCTCAACCGTAGCATTATTTGAGCTAGTTTCAAAAACCTCAGTTGACTCTCCCTCGGGATTAGAAGTAGCGGATACCTGACCATAAGAATTAGCATTATAAATATCTTGTCCATTCTGCTGGTACTGACTGAAATTTGCGCCATGCTGATCACTTTGGCTTTGCTGAAACTGCCAGTTGTTTTGCACATAGCTCTCATTCAAGCTTCCCTGAGATTCTGGAAACCGTCGTAAATTAAGGTTATTTTGATTGGGTCTCACCTCTGTAGGTCCCTCCCAAGACCACCCTCCTTGATTCTTCATATTGGCATTATTTTGAGCAGTAGCCCCGTATCCTCCAAAGTTTCCATTTTCATAAGCTGAGTTGTTCTGCAATTCATTTCTTGTGCTTTCCCAGTGCATTCCACTGTGATTCTGATGGTCCCCTTTTAAGCTTTGCTCATCACCTCTCCAAGAACAATTTTCATAACTTCCATGCAAATTCATCTGTAAATTCCCATTACTAAAGTTTCCACTTTGACCCAGGCCGCCGTTCTGATTTCCCCTTTGCCGCAAATCAGCGCTATGATTACGATTGTCCCCAACTGGACTCCCCACATAATCATTCACAGGGCAGTCCCCAAAACCCTGGCCGGGGTTTAAGGCCCACCCATTTTGTTTCTGCTGATAATCTGTACGATTTTGGGTATCATATGGAGGATTCTCAAAGTGAGACGCACCGTTAGGGCTATGAAAATCCCATCTTTCAGTGGCAGTGCTGAGAAATTTATTGAAACATCTGACTGAATCAGAGACACGTCGTGAAGAACGTACCTTGGATAAAGCGGTGAGAGAGTTGAACGTCAAAACCCAAACCCTCTTGCCGGACATTGATGCTTTAAAACAGCTGACTAACGAAGCGATGAGGGTTTCCGAAACGAGAATGGTTAACGCCGCTAACAGAAGAGTAGCACGATGGCGGCATTGGCCACGGCAACTAAAACCAGAGCCATAATAAACCCTCTCAGCGTCAGGGCTCAGGCCGCCAATATTTTGGGTTAAACGCTGGCTTGGTGTGGACCTTTTGATCGGCCCTTTTGGTCCAAATTTGGGCCTCCAGTGATAGTAGGCCAGCGCCTAAACCCGTATTCTGTTCCTACCCTGCCTGAGCCAGCTATATCAAGCTCCAACTTGTCTTGTGTTTGTGTACGATTTGATCATGTTAAGGTTTTGCCAACCTCGAACAAACTTATGTATTTATTTAATACCAGAAAAAGATCAATTTGGAGAAGGATTCTGGAAGAAGGAAGGGGTATGTGCCAGCTAATCCTTAAAAATGGCAGTGTAAATGGCAAACCAAGAAGCACTCCATGCACATTGCAGATATACGCAACATGCCGCCGTCTATGGTATATGTGCTGTAAACATAAAGCATCCTTTTGATTAGTCATGAACCAATGGCCAGCAGGCCAGACCAGTTGTTTAACTTTAATATTAATCTCTTTAAACATAGAGATACCCCCCAATTAAGAAAGACATCAGAATAATCATCGATTAAAATATGATCAAAGTAATACATTGAGACTTAAATTTTTTTTTTTTTGAAAAGCTGGATTTCATTCATTCAATTCATGATAAATTATATCACCATAACCGGGAGGAGATCAGCCTCCAACCACCAAAAACCATCTGCAGAGACACATCAGAAAAACAATATGCAGATCCCCAAAGGCAACACATTTACATCCCCATGAAGACTTAATATAAAGAAGAAAAGGAAATTAAGGTGCAACAACTTGGCATATATGTTGTGATTTAAATGGTGACTTAATGGGGTGATGAATACTAAAACACTAGTACTAGTTTTGTGGGTGAGTAAGATTCGCCCTTAGCACGATAAGGGACCCCGCTTGCAACAACAACGAGAGCCGCCATTGTTTTGTCTTGGTGCGAGTGAATCCAAATTATCCAATCAACTCCCAAGGATCAGAGTTTCAGAGCAACACCATTCTAAGTTCGAGAGACATCGGCTCTCCTGTTCTATCCTGTCCCTGTCCAACTCTGTCCATTCACTAAAACTAGTTTAAATCATGTTGTTCAAGTGGATTTTTCGATCCCCTATTGAAAAGGAGCAAAATCACTCTGAAGTTTGCCTTTCTCATACATAGAACAATTTAATGCAGAAGGAACCTGGTTTCTGATTACGAACATACAAAGAAAAATTATGGTGAAAACAGAAAATATGTCATTTTAGGACATTACAAATCATAACAAGAAGTATATGGATATGGAAGACATTGCAAATTATAGAAACAAATGTACGGATATGGAAAGAAACTGTGAGAGTGAATTGTTGGGTTTATCAATGAAATAAAATTGTCAGTGTTCTGGATTCGTGGCCAGAAATTGCCATGGCTGCTGTCCGGGTCAAGTGGGATCCACAAAGTCATTAAAGTCTAAGCAGGAAGGCGAACGGCGAGCGTGTATGGGGGAGTCCAGCTTTAGGCTGTGGGGTGCAGGCTCTTCACGACTCTCGAGCCACGTTTTGGCCACTGCGACTTTTTGTCTTAGGCTTAGCAAAACCAACCCAGTGGAAGCCAAAGCCAAAGGCAAGTGGGTATTGGCAATCGCAAACTACGAAGAGGCGCACGTGAGCAACCCCTGAGCTGCCGCTGCCACTGGTTGGGCTATTGCATCTGCATGGCATCTCCACGTAGGAGCGCAACCTTTCCCGGCAAGATCTCTCCACGTCATCAGGATCCCACGAGAATCCTGGGTCCCGCCACGGACGTCGGGTGCTCTGCTTTTGCCTTGGCTTTGCTTTATTAATATTCAAGGGGAGCAGAAACGTGCACCAATTTTATCTCTGGTCAGTTGCGTGGCTGCTGTTCGGCTCTGCATTTTGTTGTTTTGCAAAGCTCTTCCCAGCGGACATGACGACTACCAGGATTTCACATTTCTCTCTTTCTTTTGATCTCTTCTTCTCCTTCTCTTTCTTGCTCAGTCTTCTATCGACCATTTCCCTTGCTTCTTCTCCTTCTTCCTCTTATCTCTATTCTGCTGGTATTTCCATTTCTTTCTTGTTTTAAAGGTTGAATTTGTTCTGGGATTGGGTTCTTGACAATGAATAAAATTTTCAATTTGAAACTCTTTTACGTTTTCTTGTACACAATAAAGTGAGGCTCTTTTAGTTATCCGAAAACTATGTTTCCAACAAAACCGAAGTTGTCCTGAACAAGAAAGCATAAAGAAAGAAGAAAAATTGAAATTGTCCTCTCTGTATTCCTTCCATATTTGTCTCCGCAATAGTAGCTACCTGCCCATGCTAATGTTTTCTTTTTGTGTTTTTCTTGTTTGGTTATTGAAGATAAAGAAGGCAAGACCAGAGCTTTGCATTCAGAAATATTAAGGAACGAGGCAGTTGCAAGGCTTAATGAGCTTGGAAAGGTATTCAACATTTCATATCTTTATCAATTTTTATTTTTGACATCTTTCTTTCCTTGATAGGCAAGGATGATGCGGGCAAAGTCTCAAAGATGAGCTTTTTCTTTTTTTATCAGATTACAAATAACAACAGGAAAACAAAAAAAGACAGAGACTTTGCTTCTATTTCCTGACCCAGAAATTCTTGATATCATGTCATATCTGTTAGAAATCATTAAGCCAGTAAACAGAATGCAGAGAAATTCATTTCTTGAGTCTGCTTAACAGTGTAATCTGCTACTTAGACACTTAATTATCAAGAATTGAGCTAGTTAATTCTTTTGGATAAGTGATGGAATTTTATTCAATGAGAATTGAACTGATTATTACACACTGCTATTGGATCTAGCAATGGTTATGTAGTTGGAGCATCCAAATTTGATTACTGATCAGTGACTAGTTGAGTTGTTGTGGCTGCAAAGTTGGTTAACTTTTAACTTTAATATATTTGCCTCAATTAATAGGTGAGTGATGCTGATGGCTATCTTGAGAGAACATTTATGAGCCCAGCTTCTGTGAGGGCAGGAATTCTTATTCGGGAATGGATGGAGGATGCTGGTTTGAGAACGTTAGCTTTCTACCTGCTGTGAAAAATCTTAGTCAGGGTTTCTTAAACTCTGGAGTAATGGTTATTTTGATTTGCAGGTGGGTGGATTCCATGGGCAATTTGCATGGTCGAGTTGGGGGAATCAATTCGAGTGCTCAAGCTCTGTTGATTGGCTCCCATCTGGTGACGCCTTTCCCTTTCCAAAATTTACTCATTTTCATGATGCAAAATATGAATGGCAGAGTCATTCTGATAGTTGAAAAATCTCCTTTGCAAATAGGATACTGTTGTTGATGCTGGCATATTTGATGGGTCATTAGGTATAATTTCTGCTATATCTGCATTAAAAGTTTTGAAAAGCAATGGCAAGTTGGGAGAATTAAAACGACCAATCGAGGCAAGTTAGCCGAGCTATGTTCCAGTTTTTTTGTTTTTCACCTAACACATGCTGATTACTTTATCTGTTGAAAAGATACTGACCTTTCGTCTGGACATGCTTTAAAATGAATGGCTTTGAAGGTATTCTAGTTCTTGGTATTTTATTGTTATATTGTTGAAACTTGCAGGTGATTGCATTTAGTGATGAGGAGGGAGTGAGGTTTCAATCTACCTTTTTAGGCAGTGCTGCTGTAGCTGGTGTTTTACCAGTTACAGCGTTGAAGATATCAGATAAGAGGTTTCCTTGATTAACACCCCTTTCATGTCTACGTATTACACTGCCCATAATCAGTATGTTTATGCATAATCCTCGTTTAGTGGTGTGACAGTGCAAGATTCTCTTAAGGGGAATTCCATAGACATAGCAGAGGAAAGTCTACTACAGCTGAAATATGACCCTGCATCGGTGTGGGGTTATGTTGAGGTATGTTGGCCTGCACTGCATTATAACCAGAGTAAACCTATACTAGTTATCTTGGGATATTCAATGAAAAAACTTAGTTTTCGATTTCAAATACTTGATTCGATGCTGCAGCTTCACATTGAACAAGGACCTGTACTCGAATGGGTTGGTTTTCCTCTTGGTGTAGTTAAAGGCATAGCTGGACAGACACGTATGAAGGTAAATATTATCGTTTCAAAAATACATACATGAAACTCCTCAATCATACTTGCTCTATGATCCCTTTTACGACCTTGGGCTTACTGTCCGTAAGGATGTTTGAGAACATATGTGAAGTCTTAGCTAATGCTGTAAGCTTTCAACTTGGATATATGTGAAATATTCACATTCTAATGTTCCTAACAGTAGTTCAGTTTTTCTTTTTGTTTTTCATTTATTGAACTGTTCTGCTTTGCAGGTTACGGTGAGAGGTTCACAGGGACATGCCGGAACAGTACCAATGTCAATGCGTAGGGACCCTATGGCTGCTGCTGCTGAACTGATTGTATTGCTAGAAAGTCTGTGTAAACATCCTCGAGATTTCTTATCTGATAGCGGTAGTTACAGCGAGTTTACCATGGAATCATTGTCCACTTCTCTTGTCTGTACTGTTGGAGAAATATCAACCTGGCCAAGTGCAAGTAATGTCATTCCAGGCCAGGCAAGAAATTCTTACATGAAAACATGTTATTGTAAGCCTAAACAGGAATGCTAATAAGCAGTGAATATGAACTCTCATGCAGGTAACGTTCACTGTGGATTTACGTGCAATTGATGATGTTGGACGTGAGGCTGCTCTTTATGAATTATCTAATCGGACGTATCAAATATGCGATAGACGTTCTGTATCTTGCATCATTGAACGAAAAGTAAGGAAACTTTCCGTTTTTTTTTTCTTCAAGGCATTTGCATGACAAGGATAATGATTAACTTTCCCTGCTATGGATCATTTCAGCATGATGCAAATGCGGTAATTTGTGATCCTGAACTGAGTTCACAGCTAAAATCTGCGGCTTACTCTGCTCTCAACAGAATGATGGGGGAGATTCAAGATGAGGTTCCTGTGCTAATGAGCGGAGCAGGACATGATGCGATGGCCATGTCTCATCTAACCAAGGTTCATTCCCTATTTGCTTTAACTTACAACTTTGTTATAGCATGTAAATTTTCCTCGCCACATGGTAATGGTACCCATCAATTTGGAACAGGTTGGGATGTTATTTGTCCGCTGTCGGGGAGGCATAAGTCACTCCCCAGAGGAACATGTATTGGACGACGATGTTTGGGCGGCGGGTTTAGCTTTACTAGCACTTCTCGAGACCCACATGTAAATTATAACATTCAACAAAATCTATGTACAGTAAATCGATTCCCTTCAATAAATCCACCGCAATGGCAACCATTGAATTGTACACTGCACTGTTTCCTTGGCGAACTTTGCACGTATTCCTCATCCATCCTTACAGCTCTTTACCCAGTTTTTTATTTTTCCGATTACTAAAGAAAAAGTAAATGGAGAAAAATGTCATCACCTATACCCTTAAAGACATGGGAAGGATCGGACAGGTTCAGGGTCAGGTTAACTCTTGGTCCTTGCCATCCCTACTTCGGATGTCAGGCTTGCAGCCATGATGGAGGCTGGCTGAAAAGCTACGCACCATGTAAAGCCAAAAGCCACAGGATGGCTTTAGACACTACAAACAGACTGCAGACTGCAGTGCAGACAACTTGCCAAGCCAACAATTAGTGGTCCAGCTACGCTGCATGACCTGGATAATGGCCACCGGACTTTAGAACAATAGGTTCTCAATCAACTCGATGAACTATTCTTGTTTCACCATTTTCAAGTGCATAAAGTACAGATCCTCTACGACTCCCTTGGAATTAAGTTTCCTTTGATCTTACTAGCACTATGACAGGTCTAAACTATTGTTCTGCAAAATTAAAGCTCTGGCAACTTAATTGGTCAGAGAAATTGCTCAAATCACATTCCGCATTTAGCGTTATAAAGCCCCAGAGCTCGAGATAACTTTAAATTACTTTGTGACAGGTGGCTGGGCAAACTGTTGCAATTGATGAACAACATGAGACATTCTAGGCCGCATAGAAGGGACATTTTGCGTGCAAGCATACACAAGGTCAACCACCTTCTGAATATCACCAGCTTCTGGAACATCAGTTGTTGATGAAGATATGAGAGGATCCAAGAGCTCCGGGTAGCGATGTGCCTGCACCAGAGGCGTTGCCCATTCAAATATACTCTGCCAACCCACAGAATCAACTTGCTGAGCAGGCCTACGCCCACTTACTATCTCAAGCAGCAGCACTCCAAAGCTATAGACATCACTCTTGGTTGTGAGCTCATTCCTATATACAAACTCCGGTGCAAGATATCCATAGGTTCCACCAGCCATCACAGTCCTCTCATGCATTACCTCCCATGGAACAATCTTTGAAAGACCAACCCCCATCAGATGGGCTCCAAATTCTTCATCAAGTAGTACGTTGCTTGCACGTATATCCCGGTGCACAACATGTGGCTTAACCTTGTCATGCAGGAACCTGTATTAAGATATAAGCTTGTGAAACACATCTGATCAGGAAAAAAGAGTAAGGGCCTTACAAAAAGTATGAAGTACATAAACTAATTCAAAATTTCATAAATGTGCTAAAAAATCAGCAAAAATTGAAAATTAATATGTAATTCTGATCGCAGTAAAAGTTTTCTGTTCAAGAGTGTTCTGTAGTGCTGAGGTGGCAAACTAATAAGAATGAACTCAATTCTTTCAGCCCATAACTAGGAGACATTCTAACAAGCATGCCTTCATGAACTTAAACAGACAAGAGAGGTGATGTAAAGAATTGAAATGGATTTGTCAGTACATAAATAACACATCTTTAATTAAGAAAATAATGAATAAGGAAGAATAATTAATAAGTAAGAAAATCTTTTTAGAATTTAGAAAAATAGAGCAAGTCTAAAAAAATGTTCGTAAGCGGCAGCAGCAACAGTGATACCAAAAATAGCAATTACAGTTTCATTTAACCAAGAAGGAGGCTCTAGTGTTTGTACTCACGCAATTCCTTGGGCAAGAGTTGTTGCAATTTTGATCCTCATGGCCCAATCCAAGCTCCTACCACCCCTTGGTATGTGGTATAGCCATCTATCCAAGGGTCCATTTGCTATAAACTCGTATACAATGTAGCGGTCACCATGATCATAACAGCATCCTTTCACAGCCACTAAATTGGGATGACGAAGCTTAGCAACCCTTCCAATCTCAGAATAGAACTCCTTTTTCCTCTGAAAATTAGATCTCTTCAACCTCTTAACTGCCACCTTTGATCCATCAGGTAGAAGTCCGCTGTATGTGCCACCTGTTTTTGCATCCCCAAGAAGACGATTTCCTTCACTGAAATTTTTTGTAATTGACCTCAATTCGTCACATGTAAAGATTTTCCATGAGGGGGGAACTAATGCAGAAGCAGAAGGATTAGATAGTTTCCTAGATCTTCTACGCCTCTTACTCCGCTTATATGCAAGGAGCCAAACAACAACAGCAAATGTTGTGCACAGAACCAACCCACTAACAACTGCTAGAATAATGAGATATTCCTTATGGCAATGCATGTAGTAACATTTGTCCTCTGCAAGTAGAAAAATATAATCTCAACTAAAATGGCAAAGATATTAAAGAAAGAAAAAAGTAAAATATATCATCTAATAGGGGGACGAGATGCTATAACTACTCCTAAAAATTTTCATTAATCATATATCTTACCAATATCAACCATGCACAGAAAAGCATGAGATGCATTGCATCTCTCACTCACGAGAGTTGCTGATTCATTCTTCACCAATGTACAAAAATCAACTGAAGCATTGATAGTGGGTGATCCAAGAATTGATTCATTCCAGAGCGATGTATTATCCGACCACTTCCAACCAAAACTGACATTAAAATTACTAACTCTTCCTCCAACCCAGCAACCATTGACAATTTGACCACATGTTACTTGAGCAAATCTTAGTTCTTCAAATGATGTAAGGGCTGGTAAGTGTCCATGATATTGTTTACAGTAGCTCTCTGATTCATCCCATGACTGGAAGCTGTCATTGTACCCAAAGCACTTAGTCTTATTTGGACCAATAACCCAACCAGAAGGGCATGCCGCTGTCATCCATGATCCAACAAAATGAAACAGCTCAATTTTAAAACATGTCACTATTTACCACAACAATGAACAAAATCAATCAGCCTAAATCTCAAATCATCAACATATCTTTCTTGAGAAATCACACTAATACTATCAGGAACTATGCAATATGACAACATATGATATAATCAGTCTAAAATACAGCCAATACCTATTCATCCAGCCTCAAAAGGTGTATTTATTGGGATGCAAGGTGATTCATTATCCATTTTACGGCATTCAGCGTTATACACAGTATCTAGAGATGTCTCCTTACTTGTTATTAGAAGAATAACTTCTCCTAGGAACGTATGGAATGACAAGGTGATCTGTTATCAGTTCTCCAGATTTTGGACAAAGCTCAATTTCTGTTAAGGATATTATGTACTCTAAGGTTATAACTATAATAATGTAGCCAGGTATTAGAAGTTTCAGCATTAATTTACTTTGAGGAAACAGGTATAGTATAAACACATCCCCCGAATAGAAGTCTCCCTCCTAATTTGCAATGTAACAGCTTTTTTCCATTAATATTTCCATGATCAGCTTGATACTTGCATTTATATTTGCACAGCAGTTAGTCAAGCGGATGCCAACGTGTCACTTTGTTAGAAACTCTTAAACTACTTTCCATGTAAAAGAAAATCATTTCAATAAGTAAATTTACAATCTTATGCATGGGAATAAACAAGATTAAAAAGCCATTTTGAAATGTTTGTGGACTAAACTTAAATGCCACTGATCTCATCCAATTATCTTTTTCTTCGACTTGTGGTGCACGTGTGCATTTGGGTGCAAAAGAACAGAAAGCATTGCCAATTATCTCCAAAATTAGTTCCTTAAAAGCTAAAACAGTAAACAAGCTAAAAAGATAACATGCAAATCTTGCACCTTTATTACCTTCATTCTTGGAGGTCTTATTAGATTTTGCAGTAGATCCATTAGAAATCTGAGACACCAAAATGACAACCAAAACGGAACATTCAGAATACAAGTTATAGATTCTACAAGTTGCATATATTTTTCCTTTTTGCCTTCATTTTTTCTTTTTCAAAAGCTAGGTTGTACAATCTTACTGTGTCAGAAGCCACAGGTAGGGGAACCAAAAAAGTAACCAAGAGGACAAATTGCAGAGGGAGCAGCTTCACTTCCATCACAACTCTCTCTTTAACCCTTGAAACAGGAAAAAAAAATCAAAATTAACTATCAAAGCGATTCCTTACCAATCAAATATTACCAAGTTGGGCACAAAAACAAGCAAACACAGTTTGATTGCTTGGAGACCAATAAACATTAAGCACGCAAACACATATAGGTTCATCGAAAAGCACTTCTTTTTTTATTTTAAATAACTAAAATTTTGGTTCTTCAAGAGTAGCAACGATGCCAACGAAATGAAGATACTTTGAAAAGGCTAAGCAAAAAGGGCAGAGAATAAAACTAGTTCAATCTACCAAAAAAAAAACACATATACTAACCTCCAAAACCGTATAGCTAGAAGCTGATCATCAGAATTCGTCCCCGAGAAACCCTAATCCTCCGTCTGGATGCACAGGAAAGCAGAGACACTAAAACAAGGAAAACGAAATTTGGGATTTTCTGAATTTAGTAAATGATAATATAGAAACAATCGATATTCAGAAAACCCACTCCTCTATTCGTTTTCATAGGGTTACCCAGCAACCGAACAGAGAGCAAGAGTTTGGCATAGAGAAGATGTTGCAGTGGAAGAGAGTCGAGAAAGAGAGAGAGAGATTGTTGAAATGAGCAAGGAGTAGATGGGAATGTTTAATGCAGACTGAAAAGTAGAAATTTAAAGGCAAATCAGTAAATGCTAGGCTTCTGAGTCTTGTGTATTTTGCCCTTCTTCTGGTTCTTGGTAACAACGGTGGACCAGTTTGCAGAGACCGGTCTGGTGGGTGGTTGGGAGTTGAAAGACTTCCGCTCCTTTTAACTTTCTTCATTTATTTAATATAAAAATTCCACAAACAAAAACCGTCTGCAGCAGTAGCGACTCGGACTTGAACAGACGGTTACTTTAGCTTTGTCAGCCGTCATGGAGTTAATACTATACCATTGATTTAATTCTTGATGTAAAAATGGCAAGTGCAGATCATCCCTTGTTCAACTTTTAACCAAAATTAAATTATATTGAATTCTACTAGTAACAGAGAGTGTCGGAGCCCACAACCAAACATGTCCATAGCCCAACCTATGCTTGACCCCCTCTCTTGTTTTAAGCCCAACTTCTTTCGACCTTTTTAGTTGATACAGGTACTTGAAAGAAATCGATTACAGTTCACCCGATTGTTGGGGGATGTGAGACCCTTAACCAATCAATTAAGCCGGTTTTTCCATCATCCTCATCTTCATTCTATCTATATCTCAACTTTGCTTGAGATTTCTGGCCGTGGTAGTGGATCTATTGTGCTTGCAGAACCTGTTAATTTTATTGTTCATGGATTAAAACTAGCTAATACTCTTGTAATAACAGTCGCATCGAAGGTTCCGAATAGATGTATCACCAGTATGGAGGATAAAAACGAATCCAAATCTTTACAAGAGTTTCAAATTGGTCATGCATGTTCAATGACTAAGGACTTAGCAGGAGAAGTGAACTCGGTATTTGGCTTTGCTTGCAGGTGATTGGAGAGTGCTCCACAAATACTTGCAAGGTATGGCCACAGTACCTGAACGAATCAAAACCAATGGCTAAGTCAGTTGATGGTTTCAACTTTCACAGGTCAGAAAAGACACAGAGAGACAGACTTGCAAGCCTTCAACAAGGCTTGGGTCTATATATTTTGTGCCTTCATTCGCTGCAGCCACCAACCAGATCAGTTGATGTCGTTGGTGAGTGAGTGACGAGTACTGTCTAGTGAGGTATCAGCACCACCAAGGAACAGTAATGTCCAGCAAAGCCCATTAAAAAAAGTAATCTACCATATGTCACGTCTGAATAAATATCATGTGAGAAAAAAAAAAGGCAATATCTTTCAGCCTGCACGTCCAGTTTTTGTTTTACTATTACTTGATGCATGTGCAGATGCAGTCTCAAAGAAATAAGACATTTCAACACCTCGGACGCCAACATTATCAAAGAAATATAAGATATTTTAAGGGTTGGTTTTGACAGATAATATTATATACATACATATATATATATATATATATATGACGAAAACAATGTGCCGTTATATAGCTTAATGTTTCTCTTGACAAAGATTAGCTCACTCACCGGGTGATCCAAACTAAACCTTTTCCCAAATTTCTGACAGGATTGCATGTAAAACACATGACGTTTAACTACCATGATTCTATAATTTAAAGTTTACTAATTATTAGTAATCTAGTTAAAAAATGTTTGGAAGTTTGAAAGAAGAGGGAAGTCAAGTCCAACAAGTATACTCACAGTGTGGCAGACGGCAGGTTAGGGTATTCTGTCGAAACATATATTAATATAACCAGCTAAGAAGAAAAACGAACTTCGGTTGGAACTCTGTTTTTTCAGTGTAGAATTTTCTTGCCGTCTCCGTTTTAGGTCAAGGTTGTTAAGGTGTTATAGTTAGGACAAGAACTGAGGACTGAAACGTAACTATTTACCATGGCATCACTCTCGCTTTCTGCCTCCCCATCTCTTGAATTTGAGAAAGCAAAAGAGATATTGAAATTAACAACAACAGGCCGGCTAAAATTACCAGGGTCACTACCACATCTCCTTGTAGGTTTGCGAGCTGCTGATTGCTAGTGGATACATGTGGGGATGGCAGAATATTCATCACTAGTAATAAAGCTCCTTAACAAACCGTCTATATCACCTTTTTTTACATATAAAGCTTGATTTAGGTTTCTGGTCCCAGCTTGGTAGGGTGTTGGTCCCTCTTTACCCTTTACGGCAACCACAAAAATTCTGGCCCTCTCTCCTCAACAGGAAGCTGTCCTGCTGTCTGCAGCCTGCGGGTCTTGCTTGACTTATTAATCAACGAAAAACACCAATCTTGTCCCACTTCCCTCTAGTTATATACTTGAGCAAATGACTGAGCTTATAAATGTATGCAATTCCTGAAAGAGCAGCTGAACTTGCAAACCACCTCTCTTCTCTTTTCCTTCCAATTCATTTTTATATCAAGAATGAGAAAGATTCACTCTTTCTCTTGCAAATTCTTGGCAATCTCCTGTTTGGTTCTGCTCTTGCCTATTTTAGTCTACTCAAAGTGCGTATGCGAAGCAGAAGACGAAGAAAGGGAGCAAAACTCAGCTCAGGCACTCAAATTCAAGCTCGTAGCAATAGCTTCGATTCTCGTGGCTAGTGCTATAGGAGTTTGCCTCCCGTTTCTGGTGAAGAACATACGGGTGTTGCAGCCTGATAAGGGGACATTTTCACTAATCAAGACGTTCGCCGCTGGGGTTATCTTGGCAACCGGGTTCATCCACATATTCCCTGATGCTTACAAGAGCTTGACAAGCCCATGCCTGAGTGAAAATCCATGGCATCATTTTCCCTTTGCAAGTTTTGTGGCAATGGTGGCTGCGATATTGACTTTGATGATGGAGAGCTTTGCCGCTGGGTACCATAAGAGGAACGAGTTGAGCAAGGCGCAGCCTGTGAACGGCGATGAGGAAAGCGAAGAGCATGGTCACGGTCATGGTCATGGTCACGGTCATGGTCATGGTCATGGTCATGGGGTCCATGTTCATGGCTCTGCTTTTGTGTTGGACCGAACAACGCCATCGGATCTTATCCGACATCGCATTGTTTCTCAGGTAAGATTGGAATGTGCCCTTATCATAGTCCATGGCATTTAATTTTCTTGATGATGATGATAGTAAACGTATGCTCCTCAATCATAGCTGAGGTCCAAATTTTATCTAAAAACAATTCAAATGGTCCAATCAGTTTCAGTTGGTGCAAGTGATAACGTGGCCCTTTTTTTTCACCAAAGACAAAAATCCAACTCATGTAGTCCTTTAATAATGGTAAGGAAATGGACTTTTATTTTAAGGGATTTTTTTATTCAATATTGAATTTTGTCACTATACTTCAATTTTATTGAATTTTACCGTTATATATTCAATGCCATTGATTTCTTTATAAAAAAAAAAAGGGAGAAAATTGAAATTGTCTCGTTAATAGAATTAGTAAATTATCGTTAATTCTATTATTTGGTTTTCCAAAAATAACAATAAGAATCCATAGATGGTTATATTACTATATGGTTCTATATACAAATATATATTGCTTGCTCTATCAAGCTCTCTCTGGGTGCATTGGTCTTTTAATAGCCAACTTTAGGGGTTGGAATGGCCTTCTTTTTCCAGGGTTTTCTCTAAAGAAAATGGATGTACTCTGCCATTTCATTATATACTTAGTTTAATAGAGCAGCAGATATCAACATCATAGCGCAACAAATGGACAAACTAAACGTGACAGCAGGCCCTACAAAAACGTAGCAGTAAATTATAGTTTTAATTTGGGTTACCTCCAGGATATCCCATCCATCCTTTTGCACCCCAACCTCTTTTCTTTTTCCTTGGAAGGGGGTTGGATTTCTTGGAAAAATGACAAGGAGTCTGACGTCTCAAAGTATTAACTCATGTTTCGTGCTTTCTTGGACATGTAGAAAGAGAAAAAGGTTTTGTAATTGCTTGTCCTTTCTCTGATTTTCTGTCTTTTTCACTGTATTGCGCATGCAATGTTAAAATTTTACCAGATTTTGGAGTTGGGAATCGTAGTTCATTCTGTAATCATTGGACTATCCTTGGGTGCTTCTGGAAATCCTCAGACAATCAAGCCTTTGGTAGCAGCACTAAGTTTCCATCAATTTTTCGAAGGAATGGGACTTGGTGGATGCATCTTTCAGGTTGTATCCCAATGATTCATTGCACAACTCATTAAACCGTAAACTATGGAAGCACCAGCAACAGCAGGTCGCTAGCAGCAAAGCTACGAGGATCGATCGCAAAAGCTAAGACAGAAACCAAGAAGAACCTAGAGAACCTTACTGTCCAATAAGGAGGATTGACCTCTAGCGAGCAGTATGAAATCTCTTGATTTCTGTCTAATATGGAACGATCCCGTGTCCTTTGGAATCGATCTTTGTGGCTCTACTGTTGGCGTCTAGTTGTTGCTGATGCTTCTGTATGATGAAAATGCTGATGCTGGTGCTTTCTATACGAACATTGTTCACTCTCTTGAATTAATACGCAGCTTCTCAATTATCTGAAATGTAGGCAAAATTCAAGCAACGGGCCATAGCAATAATGGTGTTATTTTTCTCCCTCACAGCCCCCATTGGAATTGCAGTTGGCATAGGATTATCCAACGCTTACAAAGAAAACAGTCCCACAGCACTGATTGTTCAAGGGCTTCTCAATTCTGCATCTGCGGGGATTCTAATTTACATGGCCCTGGTTGATCTTCTTGCGGACGTTTTCATGAGCCCCCAAATGCTAAGTACTATTAGGCTCCAACTTGCTACAGCTTTCACCCTCCTCCTTGGAGTGTGTTGTATGTCGCTCATGGCCAAGTGGGGAGACCATTAATGTTCCTTCATTTTCTACCTCCGGCAAGTTAATTTGTCAAAATTTCCTAGGAATAACCAAGTGTTTGATCACGGTTGCCAGTAGCCTGTGAATGTATATGAACAATGTAAACATTCTATCAAACTTAAATTAAGATGCATTAAGTGACCAAAGACCAACTTCTTAATTTCACTGAGAACTTCCACTGTTGAAATTTCCAGCAAAACAGTGCGACCATTTTGGACCATGTGTAAAAATACACAAGAAAAATTAGTTGGCCTCCAAGTGCTTGTTTCAGATTACATCCAAATTCAATGCAAGATTTGAGAAGGTGACACAACTTTGAGGTCGAGATAGTGACAAAGAGGCTGGGTGTTTGACTCACGCACGACAACAAGGAGTGCATCTCTGTTAGGTAAGGGACCCGACCGGTCCTTGGCAGGGAGTCCCTTTAATTTCTTGCAAATTAGCTTCAGGTTCCAGTTGCTGCAAAAGCTGACACTAGTGCATCATGTACCTCAAGCTGTCAAGCAAAACTTTCCTTTTTCCCTAGTGGTCAGCCAGCAGCATGATTGCTGATGTTTACCGACTTTGATCCGTCAAATTAAGTTTCATATCCATCATTTAAGCAGAAAAGCATCATCACTTGGCAATTTTGAGTCATCGTGCCCGAGCCGCCCAAATTGGGCGAAACAACTCAGTATACGCTAAATCAAATCAAATCACCAGACTCCCTGGCAAAAAAGAACAAAAGTATTACGACTAGTAAGGTGGCTTTGCAGTTGGCTACCTCCCTTGTTGAATTATTGAAACTACTAGTAATTTTAGAAAATTATTAGTATTAATCTTTGTCGAACGATTTCAAATCATTATGGTCTGACGCTGAGAATATATGTGTTGCGGATATTCAGCTCTCATCTGCGAATTAGACACTGTAAATGTAAGTATGTAAATCGTAACCCACCACACAAAACTAATCCCTTCTACACCATCAATACTTCCTCTCTATCTCTCTTTTGAAGCCATCACTTATAAACCTCTGATCGATCTGTTGGCTTCTCTGCAGACCGTGCCTGTCAAACTCTACTCTCAACCCTTTTTAGCTACTACCAGTCTTTCATTCTCGTGACCGCTTCTCTTCAAGCTTCGCTCATGAAAACAAATAAACCAATGCAGTTTCATAAGCATGCATGTGTTGTGAAAACTCAGAAACATTTCTCGAATTGTAAAACAGAGAAAGAAAAGATCAAAGAAAATAAATTGTAAAATTGGTTATCATCTTCATTATTCAATTCTCAATACAGTCTTGGTATTTATACACAGCAAAGCTCACACAACTGATTATTCCTCAAGAATCGGGGTTGTTACGAAACTAACAACAAATTAACAGAAAATTGAAGCTAAAGACTCAGGAAACTAATAGCTAAATGAAGAAACATCAAAACGACATGGCCTACACGTTGCAACTAAACTTGACTAAACGACTCCATGACTTGTCGTTTAACCAAACCGCAAGTTCACACAAGCAAAACGATTTGTTTCATTAACAACTAACTCAACTAAGCATCAATCGAGCTTTTCTTCAAAACTCTTTAACCCGGGTTTCAATCATCTTTCAATATACCCCCATGATTGAACACCTAGTAAACATAGAACCGTCTTCTTAGAAACTCAAATTTGTCTTTTGACAATCCTCTTGTGAAAATATCTGCAAGCTGCATATCTGTTGGACAATACATCAGTTCAATCTCACCTTCTTTAACTAGTTCTTTGATTGCATGGCATTTTACTCTTATGTGCTTTGTTCTTTCATGCTGCACAAGATTCTTGGCAATTGCTATGGCAGACTTATTATCTACATGAATCAAGGTGGCCTTTCCTTGTTTGACACCAAGATCACCTAACAATTTCCTCAACGACACAGCATGATTGGTTGCTGCTGCAATAGCTACATACTCCGCTTCAGTAGAAGATCGAGCCACAACTTCTTGCTTCTTAGTATTCCAACAAAAAATTCCACTGCCAAACAAGAAACAAAAACCTCCAGTGGTTTTTGAATCTTCTAATGAGCCTGCCCAATCATTATCACTATATCTTTGCAAGTTACTGTTATCATTCTTCTCATATCTCAATCCATGATTTAGTGTACCTTTCGCATACTTGATAATTCTTTTTACTGCAATGAAATGCAGAGCTAATGGAGCATGCATAAATCTTGAAAAAAAACTTGTAGAGAACATTATATTAGGCCTTGTTGCTGGCAAGTACAGCAAAGAGCCATTCATACTCTTGTAAGTCACTACATTAGCCAATTATAATAAGTTAAAAGTCTAATTGGATGAAGTCTATGAGATTAATATGCTTTGTAAGGGAATTATAATGAGTTACAATTATGAGATTTTTATATATCAAAACATAATCTCTAAATGTTCCTGATCAATGTATCATTGAATTGGATATCAATGATACCTAGAGATAGGTACATTTTATATTTCTTACTGGAGAAGTAAACAACTGATCTCATAAGTTGAAGCATAAAGATACTTGAAATTAGAATTTAGGTGTTTGCTTACAATAGGAAGTTCACTGAACATGATCCACTATGAGAAGTGCATTTGGTATTTCACTTAAGTGTCTATGCAATACTTCTCATGTGCCAATTGCGTAAATACTTATTAGACTTGAGACATCAGGTTGTCTTATGTGTGAAAATGCTTTGATTTTATCCCTATGGATGTCTAACCAAGGATATCAAAACAAGATACTTTTAAATATAGCATGAACCATGTAAAGGTAAATGAGTGGTCAAGATAAGAATCATTACCTCAAGTGATTCAAGAGACATATCTTAATTGTTCTTGTTAGATATTAACTTATTGAAGTCCTTGACCAAAGTGACGTAAAGATTACGAAAGGAGTTTCATAAGTCTTTTTAAAGTTGATGATTAAACTTTAAGAATGAATATAGAGATCAATAAGAGTAAACATTACACCATGTTCTTATTATTCCAGGATATATGATAAGGGAATAAATTACACTAAAAGACTGATCATTGAAAGGTTAAGTCAAATCATCTTGACTTTTCTAACATTTGGATAACTCTGATAAATTGCTAGATCCCAATCTTGGTTTATAAAATCTAGGTAGTTAACTTGATTAATGATAAATTTAAAGTAGTTTAAATTTATCTAATTCTAAGTTTAACTTAAGAATTATATGTTGAGTTTATTACCAACATGTTAGAAACATAATAGTCACATACCTAAAATGAATGTTGAAAATAAAATGGGAGAGGTGATTAAGTTAGATTTAATCAAATTAGAAGTTATAAGCTTCTCAAGCACTTAGATTAAAATTGTTTAATTAAGTTGTGCCTAATTAATTAAATTGTTTAGTTCAGTCATTGGGCCTAATTAATTAAATTATTTAATTAAG